CGCAGTAGAATCAGTAGTGCTAGCTAGCTATACCGCAAACCGGTTGGCTCAGCTAGCTAGTTGGTTGAGCTTCGGGACTTTCGTGCGGGAGGTCGTGRCTCGAGTCACAGCCGGACCAACACTCAGGGTCTTAAAATAACTGAGAAGAAAGTGCTGCCTTTGTAATTACATCTGCAAATGGTTAGGCTTTCAAGTGGCTCGGATGAGCACTTTAAATGGCGGTCTCGTCCCTCCACAATCATCATTACTAACCAACATCGGAGGGACGTAAAAGAACCACTGAGGACGTAAAGAAACCCTGGCAGTGACCACTCTCAGTGCCTACACTTCATACTAACCATCTCTCATGCTTGTAGATTGCACAAAAAGCAATCTGTCATTAAAAACTCAATGTAAAGCGCCTTTGATTTTATTCATATAGAAAAGGCGCTATATAAATTCATAAAATCATTGTAAGCATTTAATCTTAGTTCAGTGAGTACACGACAGGGGCGGCGGAAGCTGAACATTATCCATTGGAGGACTTGAGGAGCACGTCAAAACAGCCTGTACTGATTGACCGTTTTAAAATCGCCTTGAAAATAATGTTAGTTCCGAACTCATGTAGATAACCAAAGAATTTGCTTTTGTAATGAAGATGATGACGATGACGAGGACGATGACGATGACGATGACGATATAATAATGATTTATTAAATCATAATAATAATAACAATAATGATGATTATAATGATAATGATGATAATAATAATAATAATAATACAACAAAACAACAACAAAATAAAAACATCAATAAGAATAATCTATCAAAGACACAGGAATATCAACCATCACAGATTTTGAAAGAATGCTTTAGACGCAACCATAATAGCTTGGCTTCAAAGTAGTTGAACTTACTCGAGTAGAGTGAGACCTGAATGTTTCTCTAAGAGAAGTAAGCAATACATTGATTCATTGATTGAATAATGATAMTAATAATAATAATGGTTTATTTGAAGCATATCTACAGAGTAGCTCTATGTCTTCAAAATTATTGGAGGAGCCACTACCCGCAACCCCCACTTCCGAACCGTCGCCCCTGTATGATCATAATTTTCACAATCACT